TCGCTATAGCTCAATCGGTAGGGTCGTCGGTTAGTGTTAGGTAGGTTCCGGGTTCAATTCCCAAGGAAGGTAGAAAATTTCTGTCCTTCAAAATCGGTTAAATTACGTACCAATGGTTTCATTATTTTTATTTTTCATGGTTTCAAAAATTATTTCCACAATTAACCCCTTTCCACCATCCCCTAGCTGCGAACCCCTAAATTTGCGGCTCCCGCGAATCCGTCCGGCGTCGGAGTGATTTCTATGCGTACGGCACCCAAAATCCGTCCAGCCGATTCTCCGTCGGAGTGACTCCTCGGTCCGGCGAAGTGAGGGCCCGTTCTTACTCGCGCTTGTGCTGAGTCTCACTCCGTTTTTTTTAACAGTGCAGCATTTTTCCTCACCACCTGCAAAGAAACTATATGCAAAAGATAATGCACAACTGATATCTTGTGCGAATAAGCAGTTTGCCTGAAGACTTCTTACAGAAGATTTATTTATTTTCATTTTAGTTCGTGCAACTACGCAATCAAGCAGAGGGTGCCAAAAACTGGTACGTTACGCGGTTTAAAATGAATAAGTATCTTTCTTTTTAAAGAGCTATGGTGATTTTTTCCACTTTTAAACTATTTACAGGGCTGTTGCCGATAATGCTCGCTAATTTAAGATAAGCAAAGGATATATTTTCAGGATGAGTTAACGCTAATGAACTTAAAGTACAACCGTACTTAAACATAAAAAAGTGGGTCGTTCTTTCAGTAATATTGGGGATGAATATCAACGGCCGAAATGCGAAATCATGTACCTCCATTTATGACGTCACAGATTTCTTTTCATACTTTATTTTTTAAATGGAAGACCGCTTAACGTAATTTATTGAAACTTTTCGTGATTTTTCTCCTCCAATACCAGAATGTAGTGTATCAAGGTATGAAGATGGCTTGTTTCTCTGCGAAAAAGTAAAGTATAAGCAAACATTTTGGGACACTAGAGTGAGGCCTCGTGGTTTTGCACTTAATATCTCGAAAAATTCCCCTCGGTCAGGTATTTACTTTACGTTGTAAACTAGGATGGTCAAGAATTGAATTGAGTTTCGTCCATCTTGAATTACAATACACTAGGTATATTTTAAGAAATCCTCGAAAATTCCTCCAAGCTAAATTTCATCTCTTAACGTGCATCGTACAATGCTGCTTCAATTTGAATGAGTACCTAATTCTAGCCGCTTCTATCTCTACCGTCAGTATATCTTTCTTCCCCCAAATAGCTTACAATATTCATCAAGCTGATAATCCGGCTATAGCTCAAGATAACCTTGACTTGATGCTTTGCACGATACACGTGCGCTACAAATTTATTAGACAACGTTTTGTTGAAATCACTTCCGTTTTTTCGCATCTGATTCGAGGCTCTTATTAATCTTGATGAGGCATTGAGGCATCTGTTTATCGTTTCTATTGCTTTTTTTGTAGCTGGATGTTATGAGATAAAAACTTGACAAATTTTCAAGTCAATGGGAAACGGAAATGTCGTGGGAAAAATTCAAACTTGAAGTAAAGGTACGACTTTAGTGCGTGTGGAACTAAAGTATCCAAACAAATATCAAAAAATCAAAATAAAGGCAATTTGAGGTATGCAGTCCAAGAGAGGCAATTTTAAGAAAAAAGGGTACAGTCGTATCTAATCACAACGTTTCTCAAAAGAACGTACCTCTTGAAACAACATTCATTTTTTCAAATCCCGATCAGTCATTTCTCGTTACAGCTTTTCCAAAAATAAAGTATTCCCGGAAACAATGTTTCTATTTTTAATTCCCTTCCAAGAACGTCATTAATCGGATTTTAAACCAATGGTAAATGATCGATAAACAGGGTGTTCGCAACGAACACCTCAATAATCGATTCTTTAGCACTGCTGCAAATGGGGAAATATCGATGGTTGATCATTCACGCCCCGCCTATGGAACAGACAAAGACAGGAAGAAAGAAAGAGAGAGTGGCATAGATTTGAATCTCGGAGGAATTTTTAAAAAAGTAGAAAGAGACTTATGGCTATCAGAAAGCAGAATTTAATTTGAGAGAAAATAATTTATGATTCGTCTGGTCTCTCTCGAATGAAATGAAAATTAGAGAAAAATTATCATAACGAGAGTTTAAATCCACCCAGAAAAAGTTGTCGCCCTGATTATTCAACCCGCGTATTGAAATTTGAACGTGGAAATTCCATACTCGAATCATTTCCGCGCGGCCATCCAAGCGTGTTGCGACCTCAATCCCACTTGCTAAAATTCAAAAAGATAAATTCTAGTGAAAAAAATGCAAAAGAGGAGACAGTGGAAAAGGAGGAAAAAGCTGAGCTTCTCAAAGATGAGAATAATGAAAAATGTAATTTTCCAGTCACATCATTATCAACTGTAGAATGTCCTCACTCAGACTGCCCACCGAATGAATACTTTGATTTAAAATTAATCATGCCCCTTTGAAATCTTTGATTCTGAGTAGTTGTCCGACCAACGAGAAGCTGATCACTGATTTTGAATAATGTAAATAGCATGATCGAGAAATGAAGGCACTACTGTCATTTATGATTCGGATATATACAAGATCATAGGCATGGAAGGGATACATTTTAGAGGAAAAAAGTATCATATTCATACTACCTAAGCCCATGCTGCCGTGATGAACCTTCAGGCGTTGCCAAATTTCCTTCGATGAAACGCGAATTTCCTGGTAAATTTATGAATATTTTCCTCTCAATTTAACCTGAAGATTCTGAAAATTTAAAGGAGAAATTTTCATAATTTTCCTAAAAAAATAAACATTCTATCGAAGGAAATTTGGCTACACGGAAAAAAACAGGGTAGTCGACACAACCAGCGGCTGGTTGTGTAGACTACCCTGTTTTTTCCGTGTACTCTCGAATGTTCATACGGTGTTCTTCCTTAGAACGGCAGCATACAATTCAGGGCAAAAAGTTAGGGTCGTATTCTTGGTTGTCTAATTATTGTCCATCGCACAGACCCTTCCCTTAGAGATACCATTACTTATGGTTAATGTTTCAAAATTCATTCTTTTTTTTTTCTTTTTTCGAGCATTAATGTTCTTTACTCGTTGGATCTGTGTAGTTTTTACGCGCGGAGAACAGCAACGAAAAATATGGGCATCCAGCAGAGACTGCCGAAGGATTTTATTAAGTTGGTGTTCCAAGTAATATGGTTCCAGATAGCGGTGATACCCATGTTTCTTTGGGCTGTTCTGATGTCAATACTGCCCTCAAGAAGGAAATCGTTAAAGGATGAAGTCGTTTTGGTAACTGTAACTTATCTTATTTGCATGATTCATATTTTTAGAATATTGATCTACGGTAAAGGGTAATAATTAAAGCATCTGAAGATAAATTGCTTCATCAAAATTCAATACATACAGTAAACACGTTCAAAATCAACTTATTCAAGTAAAATTGACGTTAATAGTTTTCATTAAAATCAGAAAGTTCAAACTTTCCGCCCGTGTAGAAGGCAAAGAAGTTGGCTTCTTACTGTTTTTTTGTATTCTTCTCTCTTTGAATTCTCAAAATTATTATCTATAGGCAGTTATCGCCTTACATGGAAAAACACCCCGATTGAACGAAATAATAAGTTCAATATTGGAGTTTTTTATCAGTGGAGAATGAGAGGAGATAGCAATTTGACAGTCGCAGTACAACACTTCCATCATCTCCTCCCCATTCCGGCGTGTTTAAAATCCCTTCGAGTCTCAATGGGCTTTGTAAAAGCGAGCTTGTCCGGAATTTTGGCTTCAAAAATACGCAACACACGCTATCTACTCATCTGGTATATTTTCAGAGTATTAAATAAAAAAACACAATGTTATAAGTGACTCATTGCCTGGTGTGTTTTCCGGACGTTTCCCCATGCATATCGCTTACTGTCCATTGCACCAACAGTGAATTGGACCGAGTTCACCAGAAAGGAACCAACCCACATCAAGTTAAAACTGAGATGCAGGAGTTTGAATTTTTATTTCTGCATAGTGTAGGAATTAAACTTTAACCCCTCTTTTTACACACTAACTTCTATTTTTTGACTTTCACACCGAAAAAAATAATATGCTGTTTCGGCATCTAGGATGTCAAAAATGTGTCTGGTGATCCCAAGATGCTGCCTTTACTGGCCGTGCAGTTAATTTTACATCCTGTGAATGCAAATTCAACTGCGGGAGCAGTAAAGGCAGCATCTTGGGATCACCAGACACATTTTTGACATCCTAGATGCCAAAACAGCATATTATTTTTTTCAGTGCAGTTTTTGGCAGGAGAAAATATACGGCTAGTGGTACTCAGAACCATTCTTAAATCAATTTTTTCGAAAACGTGGGTTGATTCCTTTCTGATAAACTCGGTCCAATCTGACTTCATTTTGCAGTTAGGAACTACAATTTCTGGCTCATCCGGAAAAACGCGTATGTGCATAGGGGGAAAATGGAACATACGTTGTTTCCAGACCGAACTAGAGATTAAAGTTCCCCATAGCTAAATGAAATCCAATTATTCTACGTTAGAGTACCTACCGGGTGTCCATAAAGTAACTGAAAAGTGGGTATAATTTTTAAACAAAAAAAGATAGAAGGTCGCGGTTTGTGGCATTCTTCATCATCCAGAGGGGGAAATTTTTCGATGGGGGGTTTTTCTTGGTGGACCCCCCTGGGGGGCCCCAAGGGGGGCAACTTTCAAAATTCAAACAGCAACCCCCATTTTTTTAGACATGGTTAAAAATAACTTAAAAAGACAAGAAAAATGACGCAAATAAAATTAAAATCGGTTCACTCGTTCAAAAGTTACAGCCGGTCAAAATTTTAAATTGACCACTTTTCAAAAAATCACCGTTGAGCTCCCAATTACCGAAAAAACAAAAACAAACCTGGAATGAAAAGTTTGAAAAGTGCCCTTTAAGGCAAGGAAAACCAACTGACGTTGTCACAAGTTTGGATGGCATTGTTTCAAAATAAAATTTCGGAAAATTCAACATGGCGGCAAATTTGAGGAAACGCGAATAATGAAAATTCCAGAAACTGTTATCTTTCAAATACCCTCTAGTTTAAGGAAATCAATGGTATCAACTTTTTTTCCTTTATTTGGCCAAGTAAGAGCAATAATTTGCTGACTTGAAAGTTGGCAAGCGGGACCCCTTCAATCGTTGGAGTATGCGACATCACATGCACAGGATTAAGTGTGCTGTCAAAAAATGAAGCCGATGTGAAAAAGCGCTCCTCCTTTGGGATGCTTTAGAAATGTTCAAGGTCCTCATCCTCAAAAAATAAGAAAAGAGAAATTAAGCAATTTTTACCCACAAACTTGGTGAGCCAAAAAAAACATGGTATATCCTGATGGGGTAGGGGCGGTTGACATTTTTGACATTTCTCTATCTGAAAATTGAAAACGCAAGAATAATTGTGATTCTCTAATTCCTGGCACTCCGAGTTGGCAAGAAGGATATCTGCTACGCTTTCAATTCCGAAAACGCCGTTCTACTCTTGATTATTATCTGAGTTGAGATTATCTTATTGACAGCCTCAACCTCACGATTTGAGGAACCGATATTTTAGGTAATATCTGATGCAATATCTGATCGGTAACACTGTTTACGAATCTGAAATCAGTATGCTAAGTTCTCTTGATCATACTGCGCTCTGATTTAGTTGGCAATTACTATTGTAAATTTACTATTGTTTGCAGCAAAATGAAGATCACTTTGAACATTTGACGGAATAACAGAGCATCAGGTATAAGAACATCCACTTTAAAAAATAATAAAAATAAAAAAATTGCTCAATTTTTCTCTTCTTCTTTTTTGAGAATGAGGACCTTGAACATTACTAAAGCATCCCAAAGGAGGAGCGCTTTTTCACCTCGGCTTCATTTTTTGACAGCACACTTAATCCTGTGCATGTGATGTCGCATACTCCAACGATTGAAGGGGTCCCGCTTGCCAACTTTCAAGTCAGCAAATTATCGCTCTTACTTGGCCAAATAAAGGAAAAAAAGTTGATACCATTGATTTCCTTAAACTAGAGGGTATTTGAAAGATAACAGTTTCTGGAATTTTCATTATTCGCGTTTCCTCAAATTTGTCGCCATGTTGAATTTTCCGAAATTTTATTTTGAAACAATGCCATCCAAACTTGTGACAACGTCAGTTGGTTTTCCTTGCCTTAAAGGGCACTTTTCAAACTTTTCATTCCAGGTTTGTTTTTGTTTTTTCGGTAATTGGGAGCTCAACGGTGATTTTTTGAAAAGTGGTCAGTTTAAAATTTTGACCGGCTGTAACTTTTGAACGAGTGAACCGATTTTAATTTTATTTGCGTCATTTTTCTTGTCTTTTTAAGTTATTTTTAACCATGTCTAAAAAAATGGGGGTTGCTGTTTGTATTTTGAAAGTTGCCCCCCTTGGGGCCCCCCAGGGGGGTCCACCAAGAAAAACCCCCCATCGAAAAATTTCCCCCTCTGGATGATGAAGAATGCCACAAACCGCGACCTTCTATCTTTTTTTGTTTAAAAATTATACCCACTTTTCAGTTACTTTACGGACACCCGGTATATTAAGAGAGTATGGCCACTGGACCCCATGGAGAGGCTTAGGACCCAAAAATGGCGGTGCTTTGTTTTGGTTTTTGAAGATGGGAAGGGGGTCATTGCCAACTTTTGACGGTTATTACCAACCGCCCTTGCTACCAACCTTACTGCATCTACGATAATTTTTCTCGAAAATTGCACACGATTAGCCTTAAAAATATGTAAAGAAGTCGCAATAGTGCATTTGGGTAAATTTCTCGTTACGATAAGCAAAGAAAACTACATTTTAAGTAATTTTGCATTACATTAACTTATGGCGTCCGCCATTTTTGGGTCCTAAGGGCTCCATTCAGTCTTAGATGGCTGAGCCAATCAGAGGTGGTAACACCAGTGGCCATACTCTCTCAATATATGTACTCTATTCTACATGTGTGACTTTCGAACAGATTACGGGGGCCGGGAACGGGTTGGGGAAGGAGCTGGCGATGCAGATGGCGAAGAAGGGATGCAAACTGGCTCTGGTGGACATCAAGGAGGAGGCCGTCACCAAAGTGGCCAATGAAATCAACGTGAGACACGGCGACGTGGCCAAGGCCTACGTGGCCAACCTGGGGATCTCCGAGGACATTTCGGCCCTGGCGCAACGGGTCCTCGCCGATTTCCAACGAGTTGACATCCTCCTCAACAACGCTGCCCTCGTCTTCAGCGGGGTCAAGGTCCACGAGCACAAGGACAAGGAGATCGATGGCATGTTCAGAGTCAATATCATGAGTCATTTCATGGTGAGGATATATTTGCACCTTCCACTGACGTACCGCTCCAGGTGGGAGGGGGTCAAGGAGAGCGTTACGCCGTTTTCTTTTACTTGATAAAGTTTTGTTACCTACGCCCATAGAGTACATAGAGTCGTAATGTAAGTGGGAGAGCTGGCGCCATGTTCTGCTCGACGAGTTCCGAGCCCGGTGTGCGCCGAGTTCGGGTCACTTTTTCGATACATTTTCGATCCAAAATGGCGGTGTAGAATACGTGGTGATTCCTATCTTCTCTGTTTACATCGGATGGCCGGGTACCCATGTATCGCAAACAATCGATTATGTATCGAAAAAGTGACCCGGCGTCACACAGGGGTCTCGGAATTCGGGACTTGGAAAATGCTTAAAAGTGGCGCCAGCTCACCCACTTACATTACGACTCTATGTACTCTATGCCTACGCCACAAAAGTGTTACTAGGGGGTAGGGGTCAAAAACGCCAAAAAAGTGCGTTACAAAATTTAGGGTAATAAAGTGCGTTACAAAATTTAGGGTAATGAAGGGCGTTACGTAATTTAGAGTAATCAAGCTGAATACAACCCCTTAATTACAAGTCGGGTCCTATCGGACTGAATTCAGGTTCCTGTCGGTCGCGTGTTGGAAAACTGAGAGTAGTGGCTTGTTAACGTGTTTTACAAACTGTCTCTGTCTATCTTAAGAAAGGATGTATTGAATAAGTAACTTGCTGGTCGACTTCCCCTCGTAAATAGACGGCTTAAGTGCGAAATTACCTATACCTTCATTGCGATGTTTCAAAATTTTCGCTCCTATTTTATTTTTCCTAAGAAAAACAAGCCAACCTTATAACTTCAAAATTTTTCAGAATATTCTACTAATAGAGAGAACAAATTAAGGCAATTTTTAAGTTGCGCTGAATAGTTTTTCAAAAAATTAATAAAATATGACAGGAAGTCATATGGAAGTCAATGTTGCAAATAGAGATACGCGCGTGGTTTCGCATTTTGGCCATCGATATGGACGAATTCAATCAAAATTAGCCAAACTGGATTTCATTTTACCTCACTGGTTCTCATATTACATTTTTAAGAGAAATCCCATAAGTGCACAGAGCCTTGGACCTTTTTGTGAATTTTCCTCGTGCTAAAAAAATACACTCGTAAAATTTTGAGTGAGAATTGCAGAATTCCCCATAAAAAAAAAATGAAAAATTGAGGAGAGTAAACCTAAAACTCACAGAAATTGTACCAGTTCTTTAAAATCAATGTGATTTACCTTCAGCCATAAAATTGATATGAATATATTTCCTAAGACTTTGGTTATCCGTCATCATCAAGTGAATCTGAGTTTTGACTTCCGGAAACAACATTTATACTTTGAAGAAAACATCCATAAAGGATCTCTCCATAACATATTGTCTCTAGGCAGGACCATGTACCTACAGTTACGCTGGGAATACTCAACAAGTATTTCGCCTTCAACTCAATGATTATGCAAAATTTCCCAGACATTAAAGGCGAAATATTTGCCAAAGAAAGGGAGTCAACCAGTATTTCCTCTCCAAAACATTTACTAACAGTATTTACAGCACAGTTAACAATGCAACCTCCTGTATTTTTTACTGTCTTTCGTATTTGCAGATGATGCGCGAGTTTCTACCGGGGATGCTGCAGCGAAACCATGGTCATGTCGTTGCAATATCTTCTGTGGCATCTCTAGGAGCCGGTCCTAACGGATCCGCTTACATCGCAACAAAATGGGCTACTACGGGTAAGTTGAAACTTTTCACTTCTATCAACATTTTTCGGCACGGTACATATCTCCCATTTCTTGTAAGTACTCAAGGTTATACGGGTTTTTTTTAAAAAAAAAAAATCATAGATTTTACAAAACGAAAACAAGAGCCACAAAATAATTGGCCGGCCGAGTAACACCTCCACTCTCTGATTGGCTGATCCACCTTCTGCCCACTTTTTTGCGGGCCTTATGGAAAATAACACGGAGTTAATTTTTCATTGAAAATATCTCAAAGACAAGGCAAAATGTATACGTCGGAGATTTCCATTTCTCCAGATTTTTTTGGAGAGGTTGATGGGTAAAACATGGCATTTTTTTCTCAAACACACCGAACAGTTCGACCTGAAATTTATTATTTCATGACGCTGAAGTGTCATTTTTCAAGTTGAAAAAACAAAATTCCAGGTCAAAAGGTTCAGTGTATTTGAGAAGAAAGTGTCATATATCACCAATCAATATCTTCAGAAGAATCTGGAGAATCGATTTCTGAAATCTCTGATACATTACTCATTGTTTTCGGAATACATATATTCAGAGGCGGATCCAGCAATTTGGCAACACCGGATTTCGTCCATTTAAACCTGTGCTAAGTAATCGATTCTTGTCGGAGCACCTGGCCCCTCAAAGAATCGATATATTTTCATAGGTTTAAATGGACGAAATCCGGTGTTGCCAAGTTGCTGGATCCGCCAATGCATATATTTTTGATGAAAAATGAACCCCGCGTTATTTTCTGTAAGAATCCCAGAAAGGGGACACCAGGCGAATCAGCCAATCTGAGACGACTAGTAAAAGTAGTGAGTAGGGCTGGTGGTGCCAGTGCGCCACTCGGCCCGATATTCATATTGCAGCTCAGCTATTGTGTTCGCTTTGAGATTTTTTCGCGAATCGTTGGTGCTTGAAAACCCCAATTCTTCCGTGGAATTCAGAGCTGTAAAGGCTCTGAGCTTTATTTTAAATCCTGATTTCTTTAAGTTTAACCACTAGAAAACAAAAGTAAACCGTTCGTCCGCACCACCGCGTTGTTGCCGGATCTAAGTATTCTAAAATTGTTTTGAAAAAATATGGAGCGTAACGATCCTTAGCGCGATAAAACAATCTTCTTCTTTACCTGAAGGGCTGTCAAGACTCAAAGACAGCTTTTCCCTGTCCGTCTTTTCAATTCCCTCCAATCTAAGACCTCCTGTTTCTTGAGATACTTTCTATTTCCCCCTTGTGTTATGATCCTTCATCAAAATCATACGAGGGGAATCCTAATCAACGAAATGTTTTTATCGGTTTTGTGATTGGAAAGTAAGTGATCTTCTTTCCCCTTCATTCCGTTTTTCCTTTATTTGTTTTCAGCGCATCCTGATATCCCATAGACATTCAATCAAAATCCAGGCAAAAATCAATAACATTTTCGTCACATTATTGATTTAAAGAATTTCCAAGTTTCTGGAACTTTATAAGCACAGTTAAAATTTTTACAACGCTTCATGACATTCTAATGACATCACAAAAACTTTATAGTCAATAATTATGTGAAATGTAGAACAAAAATAAGCAAAAATTGGAATTATGCGCACAAAAGACACGGCGGCGTCATATAGAAATACATGACAGTATCTACTTACTCGTAACTCAGAAATTTCCAATTTTAGGCCTAATGCAATCTCTGCGAGACGAACTCAGGGAAATCCCAAACAACAAAGTGCAGGTCTCTAACATCTGTCCCTACTTCATCAACAGTGGAACCGATATGTCCAGGATGTGGAATCTCAGGTAAGTTAAGGAGAGTAAAAAAAGTTTCACCTTCGTTTTTTTCTTCCAATTTGAATAAAAGAAAAGTGTAAGAACTAAAAATTGGAAAATTTGATTTTTGATCCGAGGATCACAAATAATTTTCCTATGCGCCCGCCTGACTTCCCGACATAATCTTCGTTGAAAATACTTTAAAAAATACAAAGACCAGGCGTCAAAGAAGCGTGTTCGGCCATTTCAACGTCTCAACCTTAAATCTTCTGAAAAATCCAGATGCATTGTAATTCCCATAATTAAGGAAATTTTAAGGAGATTCCAACTAAGAGGGATCCAAAGCTTCTTAAAATACAACACACTGTCAAATAGTTCGTCTGATATTTTTAAAAGATTTAGCCAAGTGCCTTTTTAATATTAATCGGGAGGAGACCGTAGCACAAATCTTTTTCTATATTCTCATGATTATTTTCTGCTTAAAATTGGAAACTTTCCACTGAAAAAGTTTATTTTTTTTTTCAGAATGCCAGCAATATCCGTAGAATATGCGGCAAGCAGTGCAATCGACGGTATCCAAAAGAACAAATTCGAGTTCACAATTCCATGGTATCACCACCCCACTTTCATGGTGCTCAAGTAAGTTTATTATTTTTGCTTTATTCCCATTTTTATTCTTTCGATTAGGCCCTTGCAGCTAGTATTACGCTAACCCCCCCCCCCACCGTGCACAAGTTGAACAACCGGCTTGAAGCAATCCCTACAAAAGAGCATACAACTTTGGGATACCTCCTAGGGAATCGAACCTGAATATGTGACAAATGCTGCAAACACTATATACCAACTCCACTTCCAGGAACCAAATGTTAAAGGGGAAAATGAAGTAACTTAGGCACAGTTGCTCTTATCACGCTTTGCGACTGCTGTGAAATTCCGTCCTAGCGTGGATAGACTGGCGAGTGATGGTGCAGTATCAACGCATCGATGGATGCTTAAATTCGGTGCAAAAGCACTGGCAAAATTCTGCCCCAGGAGACTGAAAATACAATTGAGAGGCTTAGAGGACAAGACGAATAAGTACAGTTTTTGAAAAAATTGAGGTATTGATGAACTCAACTAAAACTAGTTTGAGAGTATATTCTGTTAAAAATTCACAACTAAAATTCAACTTTAAAGCATCAAAAAGTGAGTTCAAGCTTCCTTTCTGCCATGAGGCTCCATATAATTTTGAAACTTTATCTTGAAACAGCAAAACTGTACATATACGCGCCTTGTCCTCCAAGCCCTTCCATTATTGTGCAGGTATTTATCATTTCTTAATTTCATACAGATTTACCTTTGCAATGATCATTGTACGGATAAAAAAAAAAATGATTTTTAAGTCACCAACCTTGAGTTTTAAGTGAAGAAGAAGATCATGTGAAAAGAATTATGAATTTTGTCACTTTCGTCTCTTTCTCTCTACTTCTGCAGTGGATATACGTATGACTAGTATGTATATGTAATACGACGATTCCCTTCATTTGTTGCAGGATTGTGCCTCAAAGCATCAGAGATTATTTCATCACCATATTTTACGCTAGCATGAGATCACTGACTGACGAAGAGAGAACCTCACTAACTACAGTAAAGATTATGGATGAAACCAATAAGAGAGTTGCTGGATCAGTTTGACACCATGATATAGTGTAAACTATGTACCATATACTGTGCTGCAACGTAATATAGGCAGGCGCGTCGCGTGCTTTGCGATTCATCGATTGATCTGCTATTTTAACGTATGGAAAAGTATCGATAATTAGAGTGTTCGCAACAAAACCTTTATGATCGATCCTTTACCACAGTTTCAAATGGGAAAATATCGATCATGGATCATTCACGCCTCGCCACTGGCTGTGATGTAATATACGAGCCGAGAATGAAGCTGTTGAATTGTTGAATGCGGGCGCGGGACATCGAAAGTTCCTTCTTGCATTTTTAGTTCTTAGGAGGGTAAAACAATCATCATTAATTCGTGAGATGTTTTACAATTTCTCTTTGCATCCAGAGTGCCCTCATAAAAATTGCCAGTAAAATTTCTTATAACCCGCTAACTAAGAATTTCGTGTGAGCACACGAGAAAAAAATTGAGGTCCTTCCTTAAAAATTAAGTTACCCATCAGATTAATTTGGATGGTTCCTGAAGTTATCCAAACTCATCCCAAACTTGGAATATGAAACATAAAGAATATCGACGGTGTCAGTCCGCAACCACGCATTCTGGGTTGGCGACGTTGCTGACTTTCTGTCATATTTTAGTTTTCAAAAGGAAAACTACTCAACGGCACTCGCTAAAAACTGCAGTGATTTTTCTTTTCTGTGCCAAGAAAATTCTGCGAAAAACTCAAGAGGTGATGTCGATTTGCTCTCCTCAGGAGAAGTGGAGGAGGAGTGGAGATTTTGAAACGCCGCAAGGGAGATACGATACGTGATTGCGGACTTACACCATCAGTATGTTCCTATTTCATGTTATGAATGTCGATGCAAAAACACTGTCCGGCGCATTACTTTTAGTTATACTTCAGAATCCCTCGGGATTAATTATGAATAAATTAGCTTTAACCCTTCAATAGCTGAACGTTTAGATACCTCTAACTGTGATAACCTAATATTTAAGAGATTTATACTGCAGCCTAGGCTTATGTGAGGGTATTTCATTAGTATTTGAGACAGAGTGGGAATTTTGTGGTGGTGTAAAATTTTCAAAATATCCAAGATTACGCTATAGGTTTTAGCCTATAGAATTTTCGTAAAGCAAGTTTTTTTTAACATTATGGCAACTTTTACAACGTTTAAATAAAACAAGAGTTGAAAACACTTGACTAACAAAAATGGAATAAAAATATCAAACTTTTCGTGTTTAAAAGTATTATAAGAATAAATTTTTCGTCTCAAGGGTCCAAAATAAATTGCTGAGGGACATAAAATCACACAAGAATAAACCAGTGTTCATTTCAGTCAGTGCTAAATTGCCACTATGTTGTAATCTAATTAATTGAGTTAGATTGTGGCTAGTAGAGTCAACCCGCCCAACACGGAAATATTTTAAAAATATTGCTGAAATATTGCCAAAAACATTTTAACAANCAATATTGACAATATTGCTGCAATATTGCTGCAATATTTTGTGTTGGGCGGGAATTAGTTTATAGTTAGTTAGTGCTTTAGTTATTTAGTTAGTTAATTAGTTAATTAGTTAGTTAGCTAACTAGTTAGCTAGTTAGTTAGTTAGTGAGTTAGTGAGTTAGTGAGTTAGTTAGTTAGTTAGCTAGTTAGTTAGTTAGTGAGTTAGTAAGTTAGTTAGTTAGTAGTATCGTTCTTAGTAGGGCAGTGTTTGAAAAAAAGTTAACGCAACACGAAGTATTATCTTGACCCGAATAATGACTCCTATAGTCTTGGAGTCTTTGCAAGACTGCCATGTATCGATGGCTAAATTGCAGAACCACGTATCTCTGTTTCCGACGTTGCAGACTTTCTTTCATAATTTATTTTTTCTTTAGAAAACTATAGTCAAAATAATTTTTTGAAAACTTCCTTGATTTTTTTTCGATATCTGAAAAGTAATCTTTGTAAATTTCAAGCCATGAAGTTGGCTTGTTTATCTACTAAAAAATAAAAGAGAGGTGGAAATTTTGAAACGTCGCAATGAAAATATGTGGTTTCCAACTTTGACCATCCATATGTAATTATCCACTTGGTTTTTGGTGATCGTCGATTAATAGAAAACTGAAAAAACTATCACATTTTGTAGTTACTTGCCTCAGTAACAATGTGCTTTTGCAACAATACATACATTTGAATTGCGCTTTTATAACTATCAATGCATTACAAAACACTGTGAATGAAACTGTGATGTATGAATATAAAACGAATTGTGTAAATATGAAGTTTGTTGTTTTTTGTTGAAGTCAGTCTGAGGAGTACATTTTATTCATTAATTTATAGCAGAAAGTTTTCCATTACTGTTTCAAAATGTGATTTATTGACACGATTCGACAAAACTCACTGTTTTATGAATTTTTCCTCTCTGGAATAAATACCCTACTTATTATTACATATCTAAGTTGAAAATTAAATTATTCTACAAAAGTGTATTATTTTGCACGAGAGATACATTTAAATAATTTAAAAATAAGAAGTGAACAAAGAATATAGGACAAATATCGAAAAAACCAGCGAAAATTCGAGTATTTTGTTTAAGCTTGGCAACATCGGAATATGTTCGATTTTAATTTATTGTTCGTATTTATTAAATTCTGCTCATGTTGTTCATTAGTTTAGTCAAGAAACATTCTCTTAATCGGAAAACAAGAAACTTAGGATAAAAACCGCAAAAAGCGCCGATTTTGGTGTCTTTTTTTCAGTTTGCTGCTTGTCGCGCGTTTAATTTTATTTATTTATTTATTTATTTATTAAAACTTTGTACATGGGAGCCCCATTATTAGGGCTATGGTACAGGTCAAGAAACACTATACAATAATTAAAAATATAAATTACAACTGTACATTAGTTGGTGGTTAGAACGTTATTCAACAGATGAGTTTAGAAACTCGTTCAAATTATAAAAAGCCGTGAGAGTCGAGAGAGAGCCGTGAGCAGAAAGAATTTGACTCAGCTTGTAGAAAGTTCGACGAGTTTTAACTATGGATTAACCAATTTTGTCGTCTGATCAACTCCTGGCAAGTCACTNATTAAATTCTGCTCATGTTGTTCATTAGTTTAGTCAAGAAACATTCTCTTAATCGGAAAACAAGAAACTTAGGATAAAAACCGCAAAAAGCGCCGATTTTGGTGTCTTTTTTTCAGTTTGCTGCTTGTCGCGCGTTTAATTTTGCCGTGAGCAGAAAGAATTTGACTCAGCTTGTAGAAAGTTCGACGAGTTTTAACTATTATTGTCGTCTGATCAACTCCTGGCAAGTCACTGGCCATAATCCGCCAAAAAAGCCGATTTTAAGCCATTTTTGCCAGATTCGGCAACCTCTTGGTGACAATTTTGTTATTAAATGGTCAAATTCGGATTCAGCGCCAAAAATTACACAGGAAACCATGGAATTAATGCTACCCTGTGTTTTTGGAGGCTAAAATTTTTATCCGCCCAGACTCAAAAAGCGTCGTCGCTCCATAAAGCTGTTTACAAGAATGATGATATCTCGCGAATCAGAAGTTTCCCTGCAAGCTATAATATATCGATGGATGCGGAATCAAACGAACTATCGATTATACAGCTTTTTATTCAAATTTGAAGATAGCTTTTTTGAGTATTTGCGAATTTGTAAAATTTGTCGAATTAAAAAATCGAAAAATTGGCAACAGTGCATGTTAAAATTAGTGCGACATTAAAAACACGGTCATTTCCTAAAAGTGCGCAATTTTCAGAGAATTTTCGTTAAAACCGCAACTTCATAGCTTAATTTTTATGCCACTTATGGGATTTGCCTGTTTTCAACTTGGCAACGCTGCAGCGCGCGGGAAAAATTTCGGGTGAACTTGCCAACGCCGGAAAAAGACGTGTCATGTGATAGGGAACAACATATCCAACTCTGGGCAAAATCCAAGAGGGGGCAAAATTGCCGATTTTGTATAACCCTCAATTTGATGTCAAATTCGAGTTTCCCGTCAAAAAGTACCCATGCATACCAAATTTCAGAAAATTCGATCGAACAGAAGCGGAGATAGCATTTTAAGCCTCGTCTGCTATTTTGGATTTCGAAACTTTAAAAATTTGATCTCAAATTCGAGTTGCCCGTCAAGAAATACACGAGTTTACCAAGTTTCTCAAAGGTCGATCGAACTGGAGCCGAAGTAACATTTTAAGTCTCGTCCGCCATCTTATGCAAACGTTAACGGGCGAGATTTTCTGCAATTTTAAATAATTAAAACGCGTGACTTCCAAAAACTAAGCTCAAATTTGGATTCCTCGTGAAAAATCGATGCAATGTCATGTATTACAAGTCGGCATAGCACGAGGGAAAGAAGCTAAACGTGGCAACACTGATCAGTCCGATATGTGTGAGGAGGTGAGCACAGGAAGAAGAAGAATTTATCGTTAGGGAAATTCTTCGGACTTACATAAAAACGCGAGATATCCAAAAACAAAGCTAAAATTTGGATTCCTCGCGAAAAATCGATGCAATTTCATGTATCACACGTTGGCATAGGGTGAAGGAAAGAAGCTAAACGTGGCAACACTGATCAGTCAAATATGGGTCAGCACAGGAAGAAGAAGAATTTATCGTGAGGGAAATTCCTCGGGACGAAATCTTCGCCTAGTGGCGCCTCGACAGATTCCTGACAGATCCCGATCGGCCGGCGGCATAGATAAAGAGTTTATTTCAGTAAGGGATGATGGAATTGGTACACCTACGTTTAATCTCTTCCCTTCATGCAATGGTAACGTATGAAACATGAAATCGCATCGATTTTCAACGAGGAATCCGAATCTGAGCTTTAATTTTCAATATCACGCATTTTAATATATTTAAAATCATAAAATAAATTACAGGGCCGTTAATAAAAAATTGATCACGCAGAGGTGGTTTTCTCTTTTCTTCTCTTTTCCTTAATCTCTTCCCTTCATGCAATGCTAACGTATGATACATGAAATCGCAGCGATTTTCAACGAGGAATCC